GAGTAGTGTCGTAGTGAGAACCTATTTTTATTATCTCCAGTGTTAAGTCCTGTATAGTGGCGAACTAGGGGATATTTCAATAAAACTTAGCAAATAGACGTAATTCCACGTACTTTTGAGGTCGGTTTTTTTAGTACTCTGTACCGAGATTATGATGATTCTTTTATGTTGGAAAGAGGCTACCTCAGGTAGTGGTTCGATTTAAATTTGAAAATATTCCACCTCTATGAGTGGCAAACTGGGTGATTAATGACTTTTGAGATCGGTTTTTTTAGTATTCTGTTCAGGTCCGGTCTTGCATGGAGTATTGCAGTCACCTGTGGGATGGCTCAGCGAAATACCAACTAGAGGCTCTTGACTCGATTGATCGCAGAGCCAGAAGGCTTATTGGCGACGATGAGCTCGAATATAAACTTCATAGTTTAGCCCATCGGCGAAAGGTCGCGGGTCTGTCGGTTTTTTACAGATTATACTTCGGAGAGTGTGCCCATGAGCTCCACCAGCTCATTCCATCCGCCCCCTTTTACCATCGGACATCTAGACGAACGGCGGGATATCACCCTCACCTGGTTGATATTCCTTTAAGTCGTACTAAGCGCTTTTCGTCATCTTTTATAATGCGCACAGCCCGTGACTGGAATTCCCTGCCTGCGTCTATTTTTCCGAGTACATACAACCCGAATATTTTCAAGGTGCGATTGAATAGGCATCTCCTGGGCGAGCTCGTACCAACGTAGACCTCATCTTTGCTCTAGGGCTAGGTAGTGGTCAAGAGTTCGTCCATTCTTAATAAAAAAAAAAAAAAAAAAAAAAGAGATTATCGTCAAGTGAGTTTAGGTCAAATGCGCACTTATTTTTAATAACAAAAAAGATGTTGACACTATCTGTACGTATACCGACTAAACCTACTAGCGAGCATGTTCCCTCGAACCGCCAACTCTTTCTATATCCATAAATTATGTGACGTACTTAAAATGTATGCGTTATTTTCTAGGTTAAGTTTCCTACTATTCATCAGCGCCATGTTTATATCAATGTGGGTGTCCAACGGGTTGGCCTGCGGTCTCATGATGCCCATTGTCAAAGCTATACTGATGGAACTTGAACGGGTACTTAATTACTCTTTTGTTTGATATTCTACATTGTACAACTACTAGCCACTAGCGTTGCAACGAATCGTATGTTCGGCCTCTGTCCAAATACCGAATGTTCGATGTTTGAAAACGGTGACCGTCGCCTATGAACGCCTGCAACCCCAGGGGCGTCACGAGCGCTTTGCCAACCCGTTAGGACCCTTCTCAAACCCCTTTAGAAGGACTCAAGATGAGACAACAACCTAATTGTACGTGAGAAGAAGCACCTCTTCTCGACTCGACTCGACCGAATTTTTTTATTTCACTTCAGTTTGATTCACTTGTAAAACGAATTGTATTGGGTAATATGCAAATAATATATACTTAGTACATCTTAAGCGTTTGCATCTTGAGTAAACTATATAATAAGTAGGTGATTTTCATTTGATATCTTACCTTTTTTTATTTATTACAATAATATTTCCTTTGATCTTTTAGATGAAGAAGCAAAAAATTGCGCTTTCGCAAACTTACATTATATGTTCAGCATTAATAGAAGTTACATGATAATTTACTGCGTTTTTCTTGTTTCTTTTGTGTTAATACCTAATATTGATTTAAATCAAATCAAATCAAATCAAATCAAATCATTTATTGTGTACGCACGTCCATAAGGTCTTATTTAACCTTGTTGTGTCTACTACTACTACTACATTTTAATTACAAAATGTCAAATATTAATTTTAATTTTAATTCTTAATTATATTTATGTGATTATTTTGTGGTGGTTAACTATTATTCTATGTTCTTGTCATTTAAGTAATCGCTGACTTTATAATATGCTTTCCCAGTCAATAAATTAAATAATCGCTTTTTAAAATTGGCAGTGTCGTTAGTCTCAAGTATATAATTAGGCAGCTTATTGTATAGTTTTGGCGCCATCGCACAAGTATTATCATGAAAGAGGGTAGTCTTACAGGCAACCAGTTTCAATTTATTGTGTCTTTGTGTACTTTCCACCTTGCTGAAGAGTGTGAGATTTCTCCGAACAAAAAGAACCGTTTCAAATATATATATTGAAGGAACTGTTAATAACTGTTAATGTTAATTATTCGGCCGAATAGCACAAACACATGCCGAATACCGGACAGTAACCGAATATTCGTTGCAACTCTACTAGCTACCTAAATTAATCGACAAAAATAGAGAAAATGGAAAACGGGCCTCAGAGAGGCTATATGCAACATAAATGGTATAATCCTTCTATATCTTATGTTTTGCATTTCAGTAACTTTGTCTTTTAAGATACGAATTTGTGAGAGTAAAGCGACGATATTGGAATTCTAAGCAGAATTTCTGTGCTATTATAGCCCTTATTTATCTGTTCTCAGATGGGCATCTTAGAAATGTATCAAATGGTCGACAAAACCCGTCAGCAATCAAGTAGACATGAACAAAAGTATGCACTTATTTTATTTTCATTAATTTTGAAATGGAAACTTTATTTCGAAATAACCTTTTCTTTTCAGATCACCAAAACCTACAGATTTTACTGTCTTCTATTTTCTAGGAATTGCCTATTCATCTACATTAGGTAAAACAGATCGATACCCCCAATAAACACTAACCCAACTTAATGTTTTGGTCATCTCTGCTATTTCTTTCACATGATGGTTTTTTTTTCGAATTTTGTTTTTTGTTTCTCAATTTTTTTTCACAAAATTCTGGTAGCATAATATGAGTAAATAAAATAAAGCTGTTTACATTTAAAACAGAAAATGACCAAAAGTTTAAATGTGCGCATTGTTCGTTGGAGGTATCGAGATTATCCTAACTTAAAATACATATATCTATACCTACAAAATGTATAAAAGAATAAACGGAAACATTACAAAATTTTCAGGTGGAATAGCAACTTTGTCCGGAAGCAATTCGAATGACGTGTTGAAATATTACTTTGAATCGTAATTATCATCCTACTTTATCATTTGTGCAATAAGTAGTTTAAAATAAGGAGATCTGTGTGCTTTTATGCTATGACGACCTCGGTGGCCCAACGGTTTCACTGTTCGATGAGGGTTCGATTCCCGGTAGGATCAATTTAGAAAATTAAAAGTTAGTTCTGGACTGGGTGTTCAGGGAAGTGCCCCAGAATGAATTCCGTTGCCTTGGTAATCATAGTGTAGGGAGTTCCCTAGTTTGAGACCAGGCAATTGGTGTTGTTATCTGGCACTTTATTTTTTGTAGCAGTAAAGCTCCTTGTGAAAGAGTAAGTCCAGGGAAATACTGCCACCTTTCCTATGACTGCCGTCAAGCAGTGATGTCAGCATTACTGTGTTCCGGTTTTGAAAGATTAGGGTGCTGGTGAAATTACAGGCACATGGGACTTGTCAACTTATGTCTCAGGGTGACGGGCGCCTTGGCAGTGCCTCTCAGATCTTTGCGATTTAAAGCTCTGAATGGCACTGCAACTGTTATGGACAGGCGTAACCACCAGGCACACGACTTGTTCGTCCCGTCATTTAAAATTAAACAAAAATAAGTATATTATTATTATTCTATATAGTCAGAAGGACGTGTCATAAAAGAAAATTGACAAGGAACGTGCCGAAAGCGCGAATTCGGGGAGTCCTTGGTTATTCGATGGGTGACTCTATTTTCTCGTGTTAAGCCTGTAGAGTGAATAGCAACGGGGTCGTCAAAGACTGCCAGAGTTGACGATTGTTGCAACTTTGGAGAGTGTGGTCCCGAAGAGGTGACCCTCGAACCAACACGAGAGGATTGGAATTAAGACAAATAGAATCCAAGTGGCACATATTGATAAAGTAAAAGCTGACCATCATATTTATATTTTCAAAGAAAAATAGCGTCGGTCTGACTGGACTCGAACCAGTGTCTGTTCCCATGCCGGGGCCACCGTTCTTAGCCAACTGAATTACTGAAAGTATTGTCACAAAAAACACACGGATAACCTGATAAGGGCGGCGGGTATCTGATGAATGCACGTCGCGTCCGACCGGGTAATCTGGCAATCTTTGGGGGAGGCCTATGTTCAGCAGTGGACGTCTTCCGGCTGATATAATGATGATGATTGGGACATGAATGGCATGGTGGTAAAACATTGACATATTCAATGTTCAAAGTACGCCTTGTCGTATCTTATTCCCCGTCAATACTTGTACAGAAAGATGTGTGTATATAGGTATGTTGGCGTAAGAAACCCTGTTGTGGGCTCCAGCGCCCTACGTATGCGACGGTGTGACCTCCTTACGTCGTCATCCGAACTTTTTGTATCGTATCATTTTTTCTTTTACTTGTATTTAAATTTGAATTGTTCCATCTTGCTTCGCTTTCTATTTTTTTCGTACCACGGTCACTCCCTGCTCGACCGCCACAGCAGTCGGAGCTGTTTCAAATTCAATCGCGTATAATCGCTAATTATGGTTCTTTACTACGTTTATAATCGTCATTAAATAAGCTAAATCATGTGTAATAGTCTATAACAGTCTACAGTCCTCATGTACCTAAGATTACGTACCTGTAATTCAGTTACTCGGCCCTTTTAGGGGGAAAGTGCCTTATTATCCATCATAAAGTGTAGGGAGTGTTTTATACTATTGTACCTGTTTTTTTTACATTTACTTTTTTATTGTTACAGCCTTTCGTTTTACTTTACTTCTTTAAATAAATTTTGTGGACCGGAAGTTTCTCGTTTCATTGCCGTGAACCCGGTCACGGCTAGTTAGGGCTACAACCCTTTCACGTATGTAACAAATTATTGTTCTATATTTCGCAGATATTTTCCGGATGGCCCAAAACTCGAGTTTCCTCACTTTATGCTGCTAAATTTGCCGGGGGTCCTGCTAATGGAATCATTACTGTACTTATGGCTAAATTTCTTTTTTATGGGAATGTTCAGGTAGGCACCAAAACAAACTAGTCTTTTATTTGGATTCAGAAATCAGAAACTTGCCAATTTTCCAGTAGCATCCACGGACTGCAAGATATAACTATATTTTGCAGTCCTTGGACGTAACTTCCAAATCCATGATTGTCGGTGCTCAAAGACTTAAGGATCTTATGATCTAAACCGCTAATCTGACAACATGATGAGAGTTAGGAGTGTCTGAGTACTGAGTAGGCCTATTTCCTATCATAGACGTCTTCCAGATAATCATGATGATCAAACGGTCGCCTAATGCGAAACTTTCCCTTCGATTACGTTTTGTACCGACTACATAGATAGACAATGCATTGTTTTCAGATCTCAAAGCGATATAGCATTACAAATAGGAATATCTGAGGAGGAAGCGCAATATATACAAACGCTGTTAGCTAATCAGTACATACAGTTGGGACGAATTTCTTTCCATGAAGCTGTGAGTGGTATCCCCTTTAGACCATTAGACACTTACGCATCGAAGAGAATCTTCTGCCCGCCAGCGCCAATCAGCCAGCATGCGTTGCGTCTGCTCTCCCCGTTGCGTCTGCTCTACCCCGGGGTACTCAGGTGGATTCCCGCCTCCCGAAGCCGGTTTTTAGAGCTTTGAAATTTATATCTTACTTCAATTGAAACAGCATAAAATATACATATTGATAAATTTGATATCCTCTGCCATCCGTCCGCCGATTTGCGCTGACCCTTACATTCCTATCCAACCCTATATGTCACACTTTAATTCAGAGCACTTACTTAGGTAGCACGGTATCCCAAAGAGTATTTTGACCACCTATACCAGATTCTTCCACGGCCCTCGATTCTCGAACCTGCTCCTGCCGGTCGGTATTACCGAGTGTTAGAACGTCCAACTGGTCCAAGTCGCATTTAACGAATTCTCGTCCGATTTAAGTTGAAAATATCAATAGATTTTTATTATTTTCCTAGGTGGTAGCAATTGTAGTGTTCCTTGATATCACGTTCGATGCGGTTAGTTTTGCTACTAGAGGGTACGTATCATTTGTATTCACAGATAGAAAAGATGTATTGCGTTTATTTTCCACTGGTAATCCAATTTTTATTAAATTACATTCACAGACATAGTAATGTATCTTCTCCAACAATTGTATTTGTGGTATTATTATATATATTACCAAGAAATATGGAATTCATGAGGTTCTTTCGACGACGGTCAGGTAAATCACAATTACTGAATTTCGCCTGATGAAATCAAAGAGCAAATATAAAATTTACCAATTGCTATTAATTTTTCTTTCAGCCACTTCAGTCAGTCCATTACCGATCAAAGAAACAAACGGGTGTTTGAATTGGGATTTGGTGAGAGATAACATGCTGTGGGAAGTCATTTTTATTATTGGTAAAGTTAATGAAATCAGTAAGCGACACGCCTTACAATTGTAGTGCCACTCAGAGCTTTAATCACAAAGATTTGAGACATAAGTTGACACCTGCATCCTTACCCAGCATCATTACTGCTTGGCGGCAGAAATAAGGTAAGGTGGCAGTACCTACTAACCCGGACGAACTCTTTCACAGGGAACTCTACTGCTCCTAAATTCTTTTGAACAAAGCATCTCGAACAGAACACTCAGGGCTGGGCAAAATACATGCTACATCTTAATTGAAATACAAATTACAAAATACTTCCTTAAATGTATTTAAAATACAAAATACCAAATACTTTCTTGAGGTGTATTTGAAATACAAAATACTTTCATGGGGTGTATTTAAAATACAAAATACAAATACAAATTACAAAATACTTTATTAGTATACTTATCGCGACATGTGGAAACCAACAATTTCCTTCAAAGGATTTCCTTCCACAATACATATCTTGAAAAAGAAGTTTTAAATATTCAGTTTTACCAGAAAAAAACTGTTAAACCAATACAACCATACTTCATTCAGAGCACGAAGTACGTATAATTATTATTAATATTCCTATACATGTCGAATACTGTATATACGTGTAAATGCCATTCATAACATGTTCACAACACAAATTAGTCGCTCACGCGATACGTTATCCCTATCTACTCGGCCTATAAAGGATGCAAATGTGCAATTTAAACCAACCGCAAAATGGCGGCTATAACCCTAGAACCCTGCTACTCTAAGTTATAACCGCGAAAAGATGACTTTGACGTCTTTGACAATACCAGCACTGTTGCCACCTGCAAATGTGCTTGTACTGCATTGAATACGAGTATTTAAGATGTCGTGAGTGTTGTGTGTCGGTGTAGTGAGAACCCTAGTGCACAAATAAGTAATGAAGATAAAGTGCGGGTAGTTAGAAAAACTCGCACAACTAGAAGATGCTGACACCCGCCTCTTCAGTCCTTGCGAGACCATGGACGTTGCAATATGTCCGAAAAGTCGAGGTAAATAAAATATGTTTATACGTGAATAAGTCCCGAATTAAAAATCAAATAATTTCATACTTCATTTTTTGAACGTTCCGCTTTACACAAACGGACGCACGCACGCACGCACGCAGGCACGCACGCACGCAGGCAAGCACGCACGCACGCACGCACGCACGCACACACACGCACTCACACACACACATATACACATACATACATATAATAGATGCTCTTTGCAAAAAAGTGATTGATCACTTGCATTTACTTCGTCATTTACAACGACTTCAATCTAATTACATATATTTTTTGTATGTAGTTCTTCACATATAATACCACCACGAAGGTTGGGGGCTCAGATAGGGGCTCGATTAGGGGGTCCGGTTGGAGGTCGGTTAGGTGTCGGTAGGGGGTCGGTTAAGGTGTCGGTTTGGGGGTCGGTTAGGTGTCGGTAGGGGGTCGGTTAGGGTCCGGTTGGGGGGTCGGTTGGGGACCGGTTAAGTGGTCGGTTGGGGATAGGTAGGGGGTCGGTTAAGGGGTCAGTTAGGGGGTCCACCCCTAAAGGGCCCCTAACCCGCCCCTGACCCACTCCCTAACCAAACCCTTAACCGACCCACTAACCGATCCCCTAACCAGCCCACTAACTGACCCCAACCGGCACCCTAAACGGCCCCCTAACCAACCCCTAACCGACCCCCTAACCGCACCCTAACCTACCCCCTATCTGACCTCCCAACCGACACCCTAAACGATCCCCCAACCGGCCCCCTAGCCTACCCCCTAAACGACCCCCGAACCACCCCCAGCCGACCCCTAACCGACTCCCTAACCGACCCCTTAACTAACCTCCTAACCGACCCCCAACTGACCCCTAACCGACCCTCAACCGGCCCCCTAACCGACCCCCTAACACACCCCAAACCCATCCCCTAACCCATATTCGTGATGACACTTTTACTTGATAGTTTCGGTTTTAATTGTTAGTTTCAATTGTTTCTTAGAACAACTAATAAAATTAATCTAATTGCAATTAAAATCAATTCAATCGAAATCAGTTGCAATTGAATAGATTTTTTAATCTGATTGAAATTTAATTGATTAACGTACTTGTTTCGGCAGTACATATACTAAAATTGGAACGATACAGAATTATACGTAATCTAAAAAATGAATACAGCTATGGAATAGACGAGATACCATCCGCGCTTATAAGGGTATGTGCAGACGAATTGACGTTTCCGTTTTATACGCTTGTCAATCAGTCTTTTGCCGAGGGTGTGTTCCCGGATCTTCTTAAACAATCCCTGATAAAACCGATCCTCAAAAAAGGAAGTAAGTATGATCTGAGTAATTACAGACCGATTGCATTATTGCCCGCGGCTTCGAAAGTATTTGAGAAGGCAATGTGTAGCCGCCTATACTCTTTCTGTGAAAAGTACAATATATTTGATGAGTCGCAGAATGGTTTTCGGAAAAATCGTTCAACTACACTTGCGACTTACAAATTTATGCAAAAGATTCTGGATACACTAAATGAAAAAAGTATGGTATCGGTATCCTATTGGACATGTCAAAGGCATACGATAAAGTTCGGTATGATATCTTACTGGATAAACTTTACGGAATGGGTATACGAGGTGACATTCATAAATGGTTCGCATCCTATTTAGAAAACAGAATCCAGTATGTAGAAATCGAGTATTATAACTATGAGACAGGGGAAATAACTCTGAGCCCCAAAACATGAACAATTCGATACCACAAGGAAGCGTCATTGGGTGCATACTATTCCTGGCTTATATAAATGACCTCCCAAAAGTAATAAACGATTCATGTGTTCTTTTCGCTGACGACATCTCAATATTAACCTCTTGTAAAAATAGTGACCACTTAAATCAAACCCTTCATAATACACTAACTACAATTGTAACATGGATGAATGATCACAATTTAGAAATTAACTTCACAAAAACCAAAATTATAGAATTTAGACCCTATCAAAAACCATCACTAAATATTAATTCTTCGTATAACCAAATACAAATAGAAACCGTCAATACATTTAATTTACTCGGAATAGATATCGATACAAATATAAATTGGAAGCAGCATGTACAAAAAATCACAAAAAAGCTATCTAGTTTTACTTACGCCTTAAAAGAAATAAAGAAGTCAACAAATTTACAAACTGCCCTAAGTGCTTACTATGCGTACGCTTATGCATGGCTATCATACGGCATCATATTGTGGGGCAATAGTACAACTGTAAATGACCTCTTTATTAAACAAAAAAACTGCGTAAGAATACTAGCAAATATATCAAGAACAGAGAGCTGTGAACCATTCTTTAGAAAATACAAAATCTTAACCCTAACATCAATTTACATTTTGGAAGTTTGCAAATTTATAAAAAAGTACCCACAATTTTACACTAAACTGCGAGACGAACCAAGACACCATCCCACAAGATACGGAAATAATCTTGTAACACCGTTCTCAAAATTGGAAATGCATAGATCGAGCCCATATTCAATGTCGATAAAAATATACAACAAACTACCGGAGCATATAAAGCAAGAAAATAAAACAAGTATTTTCATAAATAACTTAAAAAACATTCTTTCTAATAAAACTTACTATACAGTGCAACAATATCTTGATGATAAATTGCTATAGCGTTGATCTGCCTCATTCCTGTTTTGCTGTCCATTATTATCATATCCATATTACAGGATTCATATGTCTTTCATTGTACCTATGTAATAATAATATAACGCACACACTCAACATAGCCCCGCACTAGGGAAACCCTGTGTCGCGGGTGCCATGGACACACACATAGACAACCACAAATTACACCCAAACTCACGAGAGAAATAATTACAGGCCATACAAATATTTCTCCCGGCTCAGGAATCGAACCTGGGACTTCTGCGTGGCAGTCCGGCATGGTAACCGTTCGGCCACGGAGGCAGTTAATGTGAATAAATAAATAAAATGAAGTAGATAACATGTTATATAATGGAGTAAATGCAATGTTATTATGGTCGAATTAAAACTAGTATAACACATAATTGTACAATTAATAATATGTTTATATATATGATAAGAAATATAATAAGAAATTTTGTAATAATAATTATTGCTAAGGCTTGAAATGTAATTAAACCATATTATAAGTTTTTATATTGCTATGCCCTTACAGTATATTACATGTATACGTAATATAGTGTAAAATTTGTATTATTTATATTATGTAAACTGCAATAAATATATTATCATTATCAATGCCCAACACTGATATAAATCTATGCACGTCACAAAATAGGCTGTACATTGAAAAGAAAAAAGTATTTTGTTGAAATGTATTTTGTAACGAAAGTATTTGAAATACAAATTACAAAATACATTACGGTCAGGTATTTGAAATACCAATTACAAAATACATTTTTAGGGAGTAATTGAAATACAAATACAAAATACGTATTTGTATTTTAAATACGTATTTCAAATACAAGTAATTCAAATACTGCCCAGCCCTGAGAACACTATGTTCTGGGCTGCCTGGATTTACAGGATGTTAAGTTAACAAATACACCGAATGACGAATACAAACATGTGGTTATTTCCAGGTTCTAGTAGCATAATCTTCGACAACATGATGATGTCACAAATGGCGAATGAGTTCGAAACATTTCTCCTCTACTTCAAAGAGTGGCCGGTCATGGTTCTGTCTTTGATCGTTATTGTATTATGCAAGACACTTACTGAATTCGCTTCGAATAGTTCTGTCGCCTATTTGATTTTGCCGTGCATTGCTAGATTTGTAAGTAATTCATAAACAACACTTAAAAAACAAAATAACCCCGCTGCCGCTGGACGTCTACACTTTTTGCATTGCTTATTCACATTCTTGTCATTAAATTCCTTTACCCAAACGATCTTCCTTATCCATTATATTTAGCCTATCGATCAGAAACCTTTGCGAATAAGGTTACCGGCTTTCAATACAATTGGGTGTAGATAATATGTAACATCAATACCCACTATTACTACCATTAATTAATTAAATATACCTTATTAATTGCCTGTCTCTTTAATGTTGTAAGAAATTCAAGTCCAGGAGTCTACACTTTTTAACTCGACTCAAAGCCTAAAGTACTCACGAGTGCGTTAACTAGAGTTTGAACAAAACTCAAGTTCGAAAACTTGACTCAAAGCGACTTCCACACTACAAAGTCGCGAGGACGACATCCAGGGTTCAATTTTATTGAACATCTATTAATGCCTAGGAATTAAATAAAAAACAAAAAGTCAATATGGTGATTTATAAAAAAAAGAAGATATAATAATTCATTATATTCCAGTAATTATACCACAGTTTAACACACTACACCAAAACACCGCTCAGGTAGATACTTACCGGACTCGAGCTCGACTGGTTACATAAATATACTCGAGCACTAATGTCGAACTCGAGTCTATTTGGAAACTCGATAGGCTCGTAATACATCGAGCAGTGAGTCTCTGTCTTTACGAGTCGAGTCTTGTGAATTGGAGTCGAGTCCTAAAATGTAGACGGACTCGAGTTTCTTACAACACTATATCTCTTTTTCCGCGATTTTTATTTCGCTGACTTTTGAATATCAGCGTATTTTGATTATCACTACTTACACGTTTCTTACCACAGTAAGTTATTTTTATTTACCTTATATTTCGAAACGGTTACACGTACCCCAGGGCCCGGATTCTCCTAATTATTATGAAATCACTGGTTATTGTAATTCCACTGAGATTAATATAATAATAATAAATAAAGAAGATATAGATTATATCTTCTTTATACAAATCAAAATTAATCTTTTATGCCTTGGGAGAGGCGAAAGTCTAAGATAGATAATAATAACGCACACACTCAACATAGCCCAGCACTAGGGAAACCCTGAGTCGCGGGTGCCATGGACAAACACATAGACAAATTACAACCGAGAGAAATAAATTTAGGCCATACAAATATTTCTCCCGGCCCGAGAATCAAACCTGGGACCTCTACGTGGCAGTCCGGCATGGTAACCGTTCGGCCACGGAGGCAGATTATATTACAATTACTACTATTATTAGAATAAATACAGAATATTTTTTGGAATATACGGAAACGTACACACAGGTCAGTAGTTGGCCTGTCTATATTTCAGTGCAAACGAGAGTTGATATTTATAAGAGCTGTATCGCTAATGCGTTACCAGGAATATATGGCCCTTATTTCGTCTCTATTTCTGGTTATATACTCGATGATTAACACTGACTGGGTCATATGACGACAATAAAATTGCTTGCTGCAGAAGTCAACCGAGTCGATTCGACGTAAATAGCGCGTCGAGGGCTTATTCAGAGTGTAGGCGCGGGCGCAACGATGGGTGCTGGCATCTTACCTTTCACAATTCCGAAACGGCTACGAGCGGGTAGATCCACACGTCAAAATCGTAAACAGACGCTAGATGCTAGACCAAACACTGTGATAGGTACGAGCGGACCGAAGCAATAGATCTACCCGCGCACTGTGAACGCAACGTGCGTCTACATACATGTGATTTACACGCACCCGCGCCCACCGCCACTCAGAATAGGGCCTATTATCGCCTTCATCAATCGAACTCTATAATATGTTTGAATTTTTTGGCGATAAATGTATTTGAAATTGATTTCATGTCTATATGAAACTTAGGTAATAATTGAAAATACAATTTAGTAAAAATTATCATTAGCAATAAGTGTACAAATAATATATATTATAATAATAAAATAAATGTACGAATAATTATATTATAATATATGTTAAAATAATTGTATCATTAGGTTTAAGTTTAAATTGTGCTACGCCCTAACAGGGTATCACATGTAGGTATGTATCTAAGTTTATTAAAATGTGAATTGCAATAAATGAAATGAAATTAAATGTAATTGTAATAAAAATGTTTAATTAATTATAAAAATAATAATTTAACTAATTTTAAGATAAAAATATTGTGTAGTAATTATGTTTATTAATAATTATAGAATCTATAATATAATTAATTATCTAAACTAATTAACTACGTTCAAGCTTGCAATGTATTTAAATTCCATTGTAACTTTGCTACACCCTTACAGGGTACCACATGTATAAGTTTATCATCCATGTGAAATGCAAATAAATGAATATGAATATGAAAACTCGCTTGCCGAAAAGGCGGCAGTTGACTTGATGTAAACAACAAGTCGACTGCAACATAGTCGTAAACATGCCGTAACACTGGATACCGCGGTGTTCCTGTCTGATTTTTTAAAACGCAACCGTATCTTACAGAGCGTACTGGCGAAGGTGAACCCGATCTACATGATGACAGCTGCGACAATTAGCGGCTCGCTACCGTTTAACCTCATCACCGGCACTTCTGCCCATGCTTTCGTCATTGCTTACGTCAACATGCCGCATTATAAAATGGTGAGTAATGTTGTTATATTACTTACTCCATCCTACGGCAACATGCCGCA